TCAGAAGCGGGACAGAGATCATGAGGGAGCAGAAGGATGCTGGTGCATGAGTCTGCCTTACAGGGAGTCGGCTGTGGTCCCTCTACCCCAGTTTTCCCCAACCTGATGCCCTCCCGGTGGGTTGGATTGCAAGGTTGGAATTCTTGTGGTTCTTTAGTTACTGGAGTCCAAGCCCTGACCGGAGGTGAGATGCAGAGTAGGCGTGCAGCCAGCTAAAGGAGGACGCTGAAGCAGTTTCTCCCTGAACTTTCAGTGGTCTGCCTGTCTCTCAACTCTTTTCCCACATCCACCTCCAACGTGGGCCACACCTTAGCTTCAAACACATGCTGGTCTGCCTGCCCATGTCCACAGAGCAAGTGTGCGCGCTGTGGCCTTCTTTAGCAACTCTGCTCAGAACAGGTGGTGCTATCCTCCCCAGCCCACCCGCCCTGGTTCCCACCACCCACGAGAGCCCGAGGAGGAAATGAAGGAAAAACACCCTTGAAACTTAGGGCAGAATTGCCCGTTGAAGGCACTCTCCTCCTCCAGCCACATTCATCGGCTCCTGGCTCAATTTCCTTGGACCAGCCTTCCTTCCGTTCTGGAAGAGAGGCGGACCGTGGGCTCAGGAGCGAAAGCAGCAGGGCCCTTGCCAAGCAGCCTTCTGGTGGCATGGCTGCTTGTAGGAAAGGAAGGCGGGGGTGGTATTTTCGAAGTGGGAGCTGGGAACAAGAGAACATCTTGTCTTCCTCCCCATCTCCCATTTCAACCCCAGGAGAAAATGCTTCCGTGGGCCTTGGGGGTGGGCTGGGGAGAGGAGCGCAGAGAAGGAGCAAGGAAGGAAAGGCAGAGATGGCGTCTGTATTGACTCACCCGGATCCTTCTCATGGCTGCCACAATCTCCATACGGCTGTTGGGTCTTGGCACATCCAAACTACCAATGTACTAGTGGAAGAAAGAGAGAGGGAAGGGGCAACCCAGTTCAGAGTCTGATGCTGTTTACCTCAATGCCAAATCGCAGGAAGGAGCTTCGGTGCCCATGTGGAGCTCTGGCTGACCTGATGCCCCTCTCTTCCCCTCAGGATCTGCCAGATGTCTGGGCATTTGGGCAGGCTCGTTCCAATCCCCTGGCAGTTTTGTCTGGCAGGGGGTGCTACGTGTGGCTCAAAGCAGCGGAATTCAAAGGTCCTGTTTATCCAACCCCTGTTGGTTTACTTTCTACCCCTGTCGCCAAGGCTTAGAGGGGACCCCTTGGGGAGAAGTGCAGAAGAGGCCAGAATGGACAATACACAATTCATTTAGAAGTCGCACATGTAACGTGGCTGCTGGGAGGGCTGTTGCAGACCCACCCGCCATCCCTTGATCCTGGAGCTGCTAACAGATTATAAGAACAATCACCCTTCACCTTCTGTGATTACACAGTCTTATTCAAGGCAGGTTAACCACAGCATCACCCTTCCGATTTCATTCATCAGACCTGGAATAAACGGTGCAATTCTGCTCCATGTCAGAAAATTAAGGCACAATTTCAGGGGCCAGGGACAGTTCCTATGTGCAGAAGATAGTGCATTGTTTGCAAAAATCATGGTTGACTATCCCTAAAGGATTTGAAGCCAAACTCCCAACTTCAGCCCGCTCTTTCATCCAAGGGTGTCAACTCAAGGACATTTAACCCAGTTAATTGTTTAACATGAAGGCAGCCCATTCCAGTGACAAGTTCAGTGGGACTTGGAGGTAAAAGGGGGAGTCTAGCCACTAAAAATACAAGCAAAGTCAAGTAAAGCAATCCGTGTAAAATGGCAACATGCGATGTGTCCAAGAGCTACCGCATAGACAATATGCCTGTCTTTATTTTCCTTCCAAGTTTGACAAATGCCAATCAGGAGAGTCTTCCAAAAGTGAGCCCCTGAACCAAGAAGCCCATCTTCTCCCTTGTGCTGAGTTGGTGCAATCCTTGATGGGTTGAACGTGAAGGTTATCTCCTGTCCGATATGGAAGCCTAGCCCTAGCCTCTTCCTTCCTTTGCCCGGTCGCTCACTGGTCTGCACATCAGGGCTTCTCACCTGTGGGTGAGGGCCTAAATCCGGTGTCCTTCAGAAGAGCTGGACTCCAGTTATTTCCAGCAGCCTGGCCATTGATAGATATTGTAGTCCAGCATATCTGGGGAACACCACATGAAGGACAAACTCAGAAACTGGCAAATGCTCAGACTTCAGCTGTGCTGAAGCAAACAGGTCCCTGGCTGGCAAACCAGGATGAGGACAGAATCAAAGGAGGCAACTATCTAAAAACTAGAAGAAATGGGCAGTTCATTCCAAGTTTGAGACAACTAGCAAGGGCTGAATGCATCCAGATGTAAACAAGTAATAATTGAAGCATGCAAGCCACGTTGCTAATAAAGCATTGTTCGAACACTATTTTTAAATGCTCTCCCTTCAAATGGTTCTAATTAAAGACCAAAAGGCCTGTGTGCCAGGGAACGTGTTTTTTTTTCTTTTCTTCACTTCCTGAGCGCTAACCAAATGTATTTTTATCTCCTCGAAGCCTTAAAACGGGGACCTCATTCACACATCTTTGGTGATGTTCTGCTCAGTCACCCCTTCCCATCTGTAGTGCTTCTTACAGGCCGTCCTTGGCATCTTCCCTCCTGAGAAATTAGTGGCTTTTCTTTTGGTCGGGAACAAAGGCAGGGAGAGCGAGTGAGATTCCCAGCATTCAAGAGCACTGTGTGTTTTTGCAAAAAAGGAGTTACCTTGGCACAGCCCGGAAAGTGAGGAGAGGGAAAGGCTGGGCTTGGCATTTGAAGCATCACGCACACGCACACACCCCACCCTGCAAAATGGCCACTACAGTCACCTCTTCTCCTCGTTTAGCAAAGACTTGGGCGCCTTCATGGAAGGAAGGCCAAGAGCACAGCTAGGTCTTCTTCACAATAGCGGTCCAGCCTACCGAGATTTAAAATGGTCTTTGCACAAAGCAGTCTGCTTCAGCTTTTGTCCCTGCTCATGTACCCAGGAATATTCAATCAGGGCAACACAGAAAGAATGACCAGCTGGCAACAGGGTTCAACTCCGCACCTCCCAAAGGATCCTCCAGCGTTGCCCGGAAGTCTTCACAAGGCCGGAGAAACACAGGCCACAATGCAGGCGCTTCTGAGTAGCCAGTTGGCCACCGTAATTCCACCCCCGGAGGAGATCTCAGAGATCCCAAAACGTGCCCTTTCCGACCCAGTGCAGTACTGACACCGCTGGGTGCCAATGCCGGCGGGGATAAGGCTGAAATCAGCCAAAGCTGTATTTCGGCCTTCTGCAAAGCTGGTCTCTAAATGCTGCTGGTTAGGGGAGCATTTCCCACCCGTTTTGTCAGTGTCGCCCTGGATACAGATATAGACTCTGCGATGTGTGCAGTGGACCCTTTTTCATCAAAAGTGCCTCAGAGAATCCGCTCCCTTTCCATTCTGGGTGATGAACAGTTCTGTGTCAACAGGAAGCCTCCGCATCCTTTCAGCCAAGGAGAACCTGAAGCCAAGCGTCCAGATCCAAATAGCACAGTTGGTGAAAGAGTTTGCAAGCTAAGAGGGGGAGGGGGTGGCTTCCCTTCCCATTTAGGCTCCTAATTAATTCTGTGGGAAAATGTCCAACTCACTTAAACTCTGAAATCTAAGGATATTAAAGTAGTGGTTTAAAAAGCACCCAACAGGACAAACCAGTTTATGCAAGATCAGATCAAGCAAGCGTTGTGGGGCCATTTGATTCTTCTGCCCCCTTCCTCGTCCCAAAACTTTCTTGGCTCTACCCCACGGAAGCCGGATAAACATTGACTGCAAAGCCGCTGGATTCTTGACCAGGTCTTTGCCCTCTAAGTCCCATTCCAGAAGTGTGGAGATGGGCCTGGGTTGACCGCTTATCCAGCGTCCTCATGGGAATGGTAAGATCAGGATGGGAGGAACAGGGCAAACAGGCACAGTTTGGCATGTTTTTCAACCTGACCCATGCGTTGGCTGTACTCATGCAGGGGGTGGGCCACACCCACGCATGGAAGCTTTGTTGTAAGAAGAGCTCAGGACGAACCCGCTGCTAGATATTTTTCACTTCAGCACCTGATGCCCAGAGGGTAGACTGTGGCTGCAGAGGGAGGCTCTGTTTCAACCTCTGTTTAGCTACTCCGGAGGAAACTTCTGTGCCTTTTCTGGGCATCGGGAGACCCTAATGGAGCAATGAGCTACAGGAGCAAGCGACTCTGCCCCTTCTGCTTGGACTGCCCAGCCCCTCCCCGGCTTCTTCCAGATGCAGCCGGCCGGCTCTCTGCCCGCAGGCGGGTCCAGCTGAGTGCCGGGGCTTAAGGCGGCCTGAAAAACGTCCCTTCTTTGGCCGCGGCTGCCGGGGGTTCAT